CATTAAAGAAAAAAATTCAATGTTTGCGGATTACAATTGAAAATATTGACGTATACAATTGTATTCAAAATAATTATACAATGTCTGTGTATTATGACTAGAAATATTGATGAGTACCTGCTTATAAAAAAAATTCTGCATCTACTCTGTCTAAAAAAACAAACAAAAAAAAATCAAAACCTCTTGCTATAAAGATTGTAAAAAAAAAAAGAAACAATTTTATTAAAGGGACACTATAGTCACCAGAACAACTACAGCTTGTTGTATTTGTTCTGGTGAGTGTAATAAGTCCCTTCAGGTCTTTTATGGTAAACAATGCATTTTCAGAATACCTCCAGTGGCCACTCCTCAGAAGGCTATAGGTGCTTCCACCCTCTGCATGGAGACGGTATGTAAAATTTACAATCACTGTATCAATATTAATTGTACTTAACTGAATTATTGTTGTAGGGTAGTCAATCATAATTTCACACAGGAATACATTCAGAAAAGCTTGAGAAGAAATAGTCTTACACAGATTCTTAGTCTTAGAACCCCCTCTACAGAAGAGGGTTAGAATTTCAGGGTATGCTACTAATGTTACTTTCCCAAAATGGAATGTATTTGTTTTCATGCTCAAATCGTTAGTTTTTGCAAAAAAAAAAAAAAAAAAAAAAGGTTTGCAGAACGTTGCGCTATAGGCCTGCCTCTTTAGCCACAAACCCACACTCCAGAAAAAAATATTTCCTTATCAAAGGTATGCAAATAGCTCAGCCACTGGCAGCACTGAATGATCCCAACAACAAAACAAGCTGCATTAGAAGGACACGACACCCACGTAGTTACATAGTAAGGATATCACTACCTGTTCGTAGCCACTCTGACTGTCTGCAGCCAGGTTGTGAATAACCTGCCGGTCAGTCAGTGCTGTTGGAGCTGAGAATGTATGCATAACTTTGATAAGGAAGTCTTTCTGGCATGAGGGGGCGTGGCTATGGAGGCAGGCTTATAGTGCAGCATTCTGCAAAACATTTCTTTTTTGTGCAAAATAAATACAAAGATTTTAGCATTCAAAAAAAAAAAAAAAATACAGCATATTAATAAAGCCAAAATCTATCAAATGCTTGAAAATTGTATTGGTGCCTAAAGTGTCCCTTTAAGTCGTTTCACATTATAGTTGGAGGGTAACTCCCATATAACTGGCCCGTTTCAATGCTGTTTCAAGTGATACATCTTTGGGAAAAATCAGATGTCAAGGATTTGTGAAGGGGCCGTGTAATATCATTTGTTAGTTCCCGAGTGATAGGACATATGGAATGTTATTTGTGTGTGCGTCTTTTAACAACCGAGGACTTTTATAAGAGGGAGTCTTGTTTGACTATCACAGACATCTTGAATTTCCACTGTGTAGAAAACAAGTTCTTTGTTTTTGGAATATAAATGCCATCGTAGAGCTACTGTAGTAATAATCCATTGCACATTGAAGATACTTGTGTGTATGCTTTATAAACACACCATTCAGAGTTGCTGTGTATATTAAGATAATATCTAACTATTTATACAGATGTCTTACAATTCAATCTATATCAATATGTAACAAGGAAACAGTTTAATGTATTTCAGCTTAGGATGCAGTGAAGCAGAACAGATAATGCCCAGCTTGTTCCTATAAATCAGAAGGGGAGGTGATAAGTTCTTTTTAACCTTTTTTGAACGGCATTGTAACAAGTGGAACTACATCAGCAGTGCACATAGCAAGACCTGGGGAATGGGTGCAATGGATCACATCACAAATATGACCACTCTCATTTTTTAAAATATGGTATTTAAAGCAGGTCTGTCACAACTGAGATTTATGCCCCACCTGATATCTAAGTAAAACATAGGTATTAGTTGTGTTATTTGCGTTACTTTATTTATTTTTGCATTTACATGGTATGCTTTGCTGTCCTTGCACAGCCAGGGCATATCATGCAAATTAATCTGTTCCCCACGATGCAACGTGCAAAGATGCTTGGGCATGTATAGCAAGATAGAAAAGCAAAGTATTCATGCACTCATGGGTAATTTTTCTACAGATTCTTGAGCATGCATGAGCGTGTCTGGAGTACCATGGAGTGATAAGGAAGTGATTTATAAATAAGTGTATTATTGTTTAATTCTGCCATACTACTTGTCTTAGTAAGCTCTTCAATAGCATTTATTGCAACATTCAGATAAGTCATGTAAATATTCCACATATGTATTGTTCTTACTCTTCCATCTCAATTTTTATGTCCTGTTTTTCCAGTTTAACGCTCCCCAGATTTACTATTATTCACTGTTTACTGTTAAATTAATATATTTGGACAGTGTTGGTCATGAATCCATGAAATGTTGGGAATTGATTTTCTAATTGCAATATAATGGGGAGGATTCTGAAATAATGCATGTATGTATCAGGTAGTGTCTCTAAAGGATGCCAAATAATTGAATTATTTATTATTTTGAATCACTTTATTGAAGCCACTAATAACTCATACACTACAACCAAAACTGTAAAAAAGTACATGGAATGAATGAAAGCCCTGTTTGTCTGTTGAAAACCCCATATGTGTTGGGGCATCAATTAAAAAAGAAGGAAGTTATGAGTGAACATAACTAAGACAATTCAGAATTGTACTGGATACAGAAGAGATTAACCAGGCTGCCACATTGCTTCTTAAAGGGACACTCCAAGCACTATAACCACTGCAGGGTGTTATGGTGCTAGCAATGCCCTGGCACCTCCCAACGGTAAATAGTCACAGGAGGCACGCTGTAGTGGTTATGGCTTTTGACATTTTCCCTTTAATTACTTTGGGGACTCTTCGCTTATCACAGCTTTGACAATTCCAGAATCTGGTCTAAAATAGTGAACCTATTACATACAGGGTCAGGGCCGGCGCTTCCTGTAGGCGACTTAGGCAGGATCGCCAGCCCCTCAAATGCTGCAGCCGTCTGAGCTCTCTATAGAGAGGATCGAAGCGGAGCTCGGCCACGCTACACTAGACGTAGGAGGCCAACCTGGGAGGAGGGAAGGGGAGAGGAGAGACCATCAAGTTGGGGGGGGGCTCTACGAAACAGGAGGGAGAGCTCTAAAGGACAGGGGGTAGGAGAGAGCACTAAGTGACGGCGTAGGGGTGGGGGGAGCTTTAAGGGACGGGGGGCGGGAGTGACAGATTATTAAGGGACAGAGAGGCTAAGGAATGGGAAAAGAGAAGCACAAAGGGGCTGGTAGGGAAGAAATAGACTCACAAAGGGATTCCGGAGGGAGATACACAAAGGGGCTGTGGGGAGTAGGACACGCAAAGAAGTTGGGAGGATGCAGGAGACATACAAAGAGGGGGGGGGTTAAGAGACAAACAAGGGGCTTGTAAGAGATACACTAAAGGGGGATGTAAGACACAAAACATAAAAAAAAATGATATTAACAAAATAAATATAATAATAAAAATAAAGAGCTGCTCCCCTCTCAGCCCCTATCCTACCCCACAAACTCTCTCTTTCACAATACACACACACACATACATACACAATGCATCCCTATAAATACACAGAAACACACATTGCATCCCTACACACACACACACACACACACACACACACAAACACGTCGTGCTTCCCTTACACAGAGAGAAACACACAATGCATCCATTACACACAAAGTCAATGCATCCCTTACACACACAGACACAGACACACACACTGCTTCTCTTACACACACTAAATTCACCCTGCAATGTAAAGCATTGCCATTTACTAGATAGGGCAATGTTTACATTGTAGGCTTAAATACACCTCTAGAGGCTGTCTACCTGACAGCAAGTAGAAGCGCTTCCACTGTGAGAACCTGGTCAAACTCGGTTCTCACAGCTAACCACCATTTCATTAAAAGTAGCGCAGCGCTGAACGCACATGCACTTTTCACCCCAATGCTCTTCTATGAAGAATATTGTTTGGACGAAACAGAAGTGTAGGTGTGATGTCACAGCAGGAACTGGATCCGAGCATTGGAAAGAGTTTTTCCATTTTTTATTTAGATTTAGGGGATGGGACCTTAAGTTAAAGGCAGAGGAGAACACTATAGCACTAGGAATGTAACTCTAGAATGTTCCTTAAAGGGACACTCCAGACCACCAAAGAGCTGAAGTGCTTTATATGTGAAGAGTGTGCCCTCTTTTTTCATATTACACAATGAGCATATTTCAATAGAAATTGGCACTTTTATAAATTAACCTTGTTACACCCCCTGGCTGTCAATCAAGTCCTGCTACTTCCTGGTAGTTTAGCTCAGTGGAGCTAGACTCACAGGCAGCAATTGTCCAGAACTCCTGCCTCACAAAGACTTCATGAGCTGCATTGGGAAGTCTGTGATTGGACAGACACAGAAATTTAGAATGGGGGTACTTGCAAAGGCTGCAGACACGAGATCTGCAGCTTCTGCAAGCTTTTTTAGACATATCAACAATGAAGAAATGCATAATTAAATGCATGCATGTTTTCATTGGGAATATATATCTGAAAAACGTATTTTTTTTTTTATTTTTCTTCATTTAGGCAGTTGAATGTACCTTTCATCATTATATGATAATTGTTGGTTTGACATTGCTGTTTTACAAGTTTCTGGTGGTTTGACTCCGGTGAGCAATAGGACATGCTAACATTAGCAAACCGTAAATAATTGTTACAATATTTTATTTGCATATTTATTCTGTTGTACGCCTTTTCTGTGCTTTGACACATACTCTTGTCTCATTCCACTGCTGCAGTGTACACGTTAGGACATTCTATCTCCTCTCCATCAGTCATGGTTAACCACTCATAGGGGTAATTTTAAAAAAAACAAAAAACAAACTGTAACAAACGGATTTCTGTTTGGCATTTCATCTGATGAATAATCTGTGAATACTCGGATTCCATGGAACTCTCACTGTAGCAACTTGTGTTTCCCTAGGGGGTATCATTCTGAGATCACCCAGCTCTGACTGACAGATACTGCCCTATGATTACTTGGGGATTTCCTCTGCTGCAGAGAGAGACATGTTTTGTTTTGTAGTTGCCCTCTCTCACTGACCTGAACGTGGGGCTGCAGAGGTTAATCTTTGTTTACGAAGGCTCTCCATTTGCTGTTTCGTTCTCATCATTTCCTGATAGAACCCTCCCCTGTTTCTACTCAAAACTTCCTGCTTTGGAGTTTCCAGTAATGATCAGATCAGTAAACCTCTGACTATGGGACAGTTAGGACGTCGTCTTTCCCTCTCCCTTATGGACTGCAAGTGACTTTAAAGAGCCATGCCTTGGCACAGTGGGCATACAGCAGGTAAACTGAGGACTGGCTGAGGGTGATTTCACTGGACAATACCATCAAGCTAGGACAGCAGCGATTTGTCCATTAAGGTCAGGCTGGCAGGTGTGGATCGGTGGCTGGCTGAGCGAGATGGGAGTTTTCTTACTAACACCCTATAGGGGTGGTGGGAGTAACGTTGCCCATTATATCTGAATCAGCATGATGGGAGTAGGATCCTGAATAGTGTGCCTGTATTCAAGGTGAGGGCATCTGTCTGCAGGAAAGTTGCCTGATCGTTGTGAGAGTTGTAGTTCACAGCAGTTGTATCGGAGGATTACAGCACTCAGGGGTTTAGCATCCCCACTGTGGCTGGGTGTGTGTGATGGGATTTAATATTCACAGTAACAAGGTTTTACATAGTCTCTGTCTTTGAATGGGGGGGGGGAGCAGGGTTTGACAGTCTATTGTCTTGAGATTTGCAGTTCATGGTTGCTAGAGTAACAAAGTTGACGTTGTCTGACAGGGAGACTTATCACCATAAGTGATATATATAATCAGAAATTATGTAACAGTAGATAATGGCTTCCATAGTGTTTTTTTTTTTTTTTTAACAGTTCTTGCATAGACAAGATATTGTACCGTATGTTTACAAAATACAGTACAAGGGCCTGCTTACTTAGCTAGGAGCTGTGGTGACTTGAGCCTGACCCTGTGTATCCCTCTTCTCTTGCTACAAATACTTGTCTATTAGTCCACCCATTGTACAGCGCTACAGAATCTGTTGGCACTTTATAAATAATAATAATAGACATGGGACATTTAGGCAACAATATTAATGTTAGGGAGAAAAAACATGAATTCAGAGTAGATTTCATTTCATTAACTAGTAACAACTAAAAATTGGCCAATTTCACACTAAAACAGTTGAACTGGAATTTAGCTGAACTTAACTTAAATGTTTGCATTTTGGCCTTAAATAATCCCTTCACAATTCCCGACAATTACTGGTTTGGGAAATAATCCCCTTCTGTTTTACTTGCAAAACTCTTCACAAATCATCACAATTTACACATCAACATGGTTATTTACTAAAAGGAGCATCCCAAGGGAATGTCAAATGTAAGGCCAGAGTAGTCGAACTGCAAGCACAGCTGGTTTAGAGATATTTTTTTTTCAAATTGGCATTTTTGAGCTTAAATGTTAAATTTACTTTGAATTCTCATTTTAGTGAATAACCCTGATACTAATTGTCTGTCTATCTATCTATCTATCTATCTATCTATCTATCTATCTATCTATCTATCTATCATATATTTCTTTTCTGGCACAATTCAGAAATATGTCCTGAGTTTCCATGTGTAAATGGAACATGTTAGTAGCTACACGTGACGTGATAAGTGGCTGAAATGAAAGACACAGGTATATATATTTAAATAGACTGTGAGATGTCTTGAACAGATACGACACATTATTGTATCGGCCTGTTTTATACTTCCATTGTAACAAACCTGTGGCCACCATCCCCCATTGTACATTTTTCTGATAAATGTTATTGTTTTAAAAATAAAAGATAAGATTTTATCTTGCTGTGACACATGCTGAGTCTGCAATGGTGACACATGGTGAGTCTGCAATGGTTTTCCCAGCCTTGTTAAATTTACACCATTCAGCCTTTAGGCACCAGGAATACAAACTACAACCTGCCTCAGAGTAAAATTCCAGGAAATATTAAGGTCAGCCTCAGCTCAACAACTCCATAATAGGGATTTTAGTAGTGTCATGTGTTTTTTGGGATTCTTGGGTGGGGGGTTGCAGTAATAAGTGATTCAGTCCTCCTGTAAAATTCAGAGGAAGGCAGTTGTGCAGTCTGCGTGCCACACCATATGATGTAATTACATTCTATCATAGTTTTGTGTTAGTAACAAGTCCATCAATTTCCATATTGGGCAAAGATAAAATGGTACAAGGACTCCTCTCTCTCACTAAAGCTACTTTGGTGATTTGCCATTGTTATTATTTATATATAGTGCAAACACGTTCTGCATTGATTTTCAATAAATATATGGATGAGTACATATCGATTTACAACGAGGTGTTTGCTCAGTTCTCAAGGTATCACGTAAACAGCCTTAGAATTTGGAGTAAAAAGAATTCAGAAGAAGTTGATGAGAGGAAACAAACAATGTGTTCAGAGGAGAAGATAGATTACTAAGTGTGCATTCTATATATAACTAAGCATATCTATGACATCTATGAGTGTGACAGTGAGAAAGCGGAGGAGGTTGTGAAACAAAATGTGGAAGTACAAAGTGCATAATGTACAGACTCAATGTTTTACTGGCTGAGGATAATTGGAGTCTTATATCACACAACTACTTGACTAATGGATTTTATTGGCCGAATGTATATCACTATTTAATACATTCTTAGACGTTGTCAACAACGTGTTCAGCTACATCAGTGCTGAAAAATATAATCTATCCTACTCTGTCCATTAGCCCAACTACCCCTTCACTACCAAGCACTTATTGTTTGGAAAAAATATTAGCATAACATATTTGAAACAAGGGCTGCATAGCTAGGACATAAACCGGGTGACTGGCGGGAGTAGGGTATACAGTGCTCCCTCTCCCGCAGTTCACTCTCTGTGGCATGGCCTAGCAGATTGTGGTAGAGAATCTGCTATATCCTCTTTCCTGTCTAACAGGGACCTTATTTATGTTCCCTGCACCCTCCAGTCATGGCAAGCAGCTCCCTGTCAGGCAGGGTGGAAAAAAAAGAACATCTTCTACCACGATTCGTGAAGCTGCGCTACAGTAAGTGGTCAGACACACAAGAGGAGGGGTAGGAGACTCAGTGAGGAAACCACTGAGTAGTGATGCGGGACCTGGCATCCACTCCAGGCACCATAACCACTGGCACAAATATTTGTTGCTATACAGGCTTGTAATCATTCCTAGATTATAAATGAGATTAGATGAACAACTTCATTTTATGTTGTTATAGTGCCTTTTGACCTACTTTTAAAAATGTAATTTCTAATAGTTCGAAGTCTTGGAATCGGGGCATCAAGCCATGCCTCCAAGCCCTCTGATTAGGAGAGCCAAGACTGGTACTTCCCAGCTTTCATGCCCAGGCATGTGTTTTTACACGCGCAGTACCGTCACGCTCTTTCATAGGTCCATTGTGGCAAGTGCCACGCGTGTGCCTGTTTTCCCCAATGCTTCTCTGTATGCATGGATGAACGAAAGGCCACACCAAGAGAGACTTGGCATGGAAGAGAAGGTATCTAAATCAGATTTTTATTCCTAACGCATTGTGTCGCTTTATGGACTAAATTTGGGTAGCAAACGTTTATACTAATTTCTGGAAGGGAAAAGGATAAAAATGTATTTTTGTCATAAAGAGAAATTCCTTCGTTGAAATTCCAACACAACCAACATATATCATAAGGTAAAGAAGGAACCCCTTCGTCTTACATAGAAGCAGATTTTTGAGTTGAAACGTAAACAGTTTGTTTATCACTGCTGCCTGTCACATTAGCAACAGCCAATGAGGACGGTACTTTTCACGCGTACAGTAGATTCATCTCATTGCGAAAACACGAGGAGATCTGTAAAAGGTCTCATGAGATCTTTCATAGACTACTGGATTGTACATTTGCACAGATGTGAAAATATTTTTCACCAAATTCTGATCGTGCAAGGGACAGTTGAAAGTGCTGTTAAATTCCTGCAGGCACTTTCAACATTGATTGCTATTTGTTGATAGATGTGGACAGCTATTAATTCATTTACCCCAAGTGATAGATGACAAAAAATAGGAAAGAACGAAAACATTGTTTTGTGGAACACCCAAGCATGTTAATAATGAATAGGGGTACTACAGTAGTCTGAAATAACCTGATATTTATATATCATACGCTAATGGCTCAGAGAACACAGAAACGTTAAACGTTTTTTAAACAATATTTCAAGGTTATTTTAAATCATGTCGCTCTGTTTGATAAGAAATGTGTTTATTTTCATAATATAATTAGCAAATTAGTGTTATTACAAAAATAAGCCAAAAAAGTCCTTCCATCTGTTTAGCTTTGCTTTTTTCCACATGTTAGAAAGTTAAATTTTTTAAAATAAATATTTTGTATGTTATTGCAGTTGCCTGTTATTCAGAGCTATTCTTCATGGTATTTTCTGTATATAAATGTTTATGGATAAAAGCTAGTCCTTGTTCAAATATAAACTATTTTGAGGGTTTGTCTTGGATGGGGATACTCGATAACAGTGTCTTAGAACCGGTTTATGAGATGGTCTTTATGATTTTGGCAGAGGGGTCCATCTCTGGATGGAAGGAGGTGGTTCATATCTATCCACTACAACCAGCCCACCTGGGAGATATCTAGCCTTGATCCTGGTCTAAGCAATCTGTGGAGTGGCAGACCCACAATTCCATTGGTAAATGCTTGGGATTGAATGACCCAACTCCATACAGCCACTGTACCCAAATATCGTTGGGTCCTAAGCTATGTCCTTAAATTTCAACATGGGGAGAAAAATATGTTGCTAACTATATCGCTTTCTTGCACTAGTGTCTATTTTCTCCAAGCAACTTTCCTGTTGTATATGGAGAGTTGAGGTGCTTGCCCCAAATCCTAACAGGCTCCCCACCTGAATTTGTGCCGCTTTATATTGAGTCTATAACTAAAAGGGACACTATAAATCAGAGTGCTGGTCCAACCTTGGATGCCAATGATTAACTGAGAACATTAGACTAAAATAGCCTGTGATCAGTGATTTCAGCCTATCAATGCTGTACCGTTTTGTATAAATGTTGTGGTAGTGTAATTTTGCTCAATCGGTTAAACAGAATATCTGGGGACCAAACACTTATAGACTCATGGCACTAAAACCTCTATAGTAATCTGTAGTGGTTTTACAGATTTATTTTTATGTTTACTTAGCCCCTATTTTATAGGCTTACTCCAATCTTCACAACCACTACAGCCAAATGGAGTGGTTATGACTCCAGACGTAACTTGGCACAGTTCCCTGGTAATGGGAAAAACTGTTTAGCAAATGGGTTCCTATCGGGGTCGGATGACCCTGGTAACATGGTCAGAGCTTTTGCAGTGCTACAGAAACCTCAGCCTTTACCATTCATTGGCTGAGAGAGTCAGCTGACCACTCTCAGTCAATGATAGACATTCTGGCAAATGAAACTTGCACAGAATTGACATTAGCAAGCCTAGAACTCTATTTCCAAGATGGCTTATAACACCGCAGTCAAGCTGCCGAAGGTGGAGTTACTCTTTCAGCAGCAGAGAGGTTAAACGCAAACCTTTTTAGTCTATATGTTGGAACTATCCTGACAGTAATGGTGCTGGTATCGATGTCGCCCTCCAATAGGTCCCCTCCAGGAACTACCGATACAATAACAGATTGATACCGCACTCATATATTGATGAAAATAAAACAAATTAAGTTAAACTCTATAACTGCAGGGCCAAAGACTTTTTTCTTGTAAGGTGCTGTTGAAACCGCTTCATTGTTGGCCTAGTATGTGCTTATCAGTTTTCATCTAACTGAATTTGGAATATTTCCTCTTTCTATTTAAGCTTGGTTATAAATAGATTATATCTTTTATAAAACTGCACGTAAGAGGTGCAGCAAACTAAACGTAAAGTATAAAATTCCACTAAAATTCTCCCAATTTTAGTACGTGAAGAGAAGGAGCAATATATTTAATCCATCCGGTGTCAATAGCAGTGTCGTTCCTTTTGGAACGAAGAACCCCCTAACTAATAAAAAAATATATATAAAAATTATAAAAAAGAAAAGAACATGATTTTTAGAGTCATGGATATGCATTTCAAGGGCATATTTCGACAGTTCCCTATTTAAGTTATTCTAAGTACAATAACCACTTTAGAATTTAAAAGACTCGGCTCCACCTCTGAATCTTCTCATTCAGCCAGCCCAGAAAAAGAGTTCCAGGGTGGCAAATTTCAATTTTAATTTCCATCTTTGGCATGTGATACCTCACACACAACCTGGGCTGAGCTCTCACTCCTCCCGTGGAAGTGAGTTGAACTATGGACTCTGACTCTACGGATATTTAACATTTAGCTTAAATAGTGGACTGGCCCTTAGTGAAAGCAGGCCACCCAAAAGACCCATATCTCCCAGGTGGACTGCTAAGCTTTATGGCATCAGAGTTTCTTCCAGAGTTCTGCAGACCTACTAAACAGTGCAAGGAAGGGTAAAGGTGTGTCATTTTTTTATTTTTTTTATTTTATATTTGCCTTCTTTTTTAATGCATCCAACACAAAAAAATAGTAGGTACTACTTAACCCAAAGTTTCCTTTTTCATTTATTGTTAAACTGGGAAAAAACTGACACTACAATAATGTGCTGCATTTTGATGTACGATAAAGAATTTCTAGAATGCAAAAGATAAATGATTCCTTCATGCTTCACAGGCGTCCTGAAAAGTTCCATCAAGTGTGAATCTAATATGACTATCCCCAAATAAACCACCTTGAAAAATCATTTACTGAAGGTGACATCCTGTCTCTTCTTCTGCGTTGAATAAGTGGAGAGTTTTCAAGAATTACATTAGTGGAGAAATACTTTGTGGTTAGTGTACTAGTAACTGTTGGAACTGGGGAAATTCTCCAGTGCTGTGTACAGAACAGTAACTGTATTAATGAAATGTCTAGCTCATTGCAGATGAACAAACATAGGCCAGACCGATCACTATGAAGTAATGGCTGCAACAGGGAATAATATGTTCTCTAGTTAATCCTTATTAGCTGCAGTACAGAATGTCCTACAGGACCCTATATCTCAGTAGTGGATGTTTGTCCAGATATTTAGGATTCCGAGGGATTTACGTCTCAGAACAGAACTATTCTTCTTTCCTTCTTTGCAAAAATGGTCTAACTGACAGGTGATGTTAAGGTACTTCTCTGTATTGTGAAAGATTTTAAAGTGTACCCATTATGGTACTCGCAACTTTGTTTTAAATTAAAGCGAAAAGTCGTGATAGCAAATATCTTTACCAGTTTTTGATTTATTATAGCTTTTAATTTAGGCCATTTCAAATTCTGGTACACCCCCACTAGAGATGTCGCGAACCTCACAGTCAGCAGACACTTCCTGGGAGGGAGGGTCTGCTGCTGATTGGGTGGAATGTGTCTGCTAGCTGTGAGGTTCCGGGTCAAAGTTTACTCAATGATGACGTATAGGGGGCGGACCGGAAATCGTATATGTTCGCCCAACGCGAACACGCTATTGTTCGCCGGCGGACAGTTCGGGAACAGTTCGGCGGACAGTTCGCGACATCTCTAACCCCCACCTGTCATTTAATCCTCTACGTTAAGCAACTTTTTAGACTTTTGATGGTCATTTTCTTTTTTCGATTGCACATGGCCAAACCCGAACAAAGGAAAAAAATAAAGCCATTGGCTCATTTCTCGTTGTGTCTTGAGGGATGTCTGTTATAAAGCAATGACAAAAATTAATGAAGATTGAAATAGCTGTTTGGGGTTGCTGTATCTCTCTTGAGGAGAGAACCGTTGACCTTTCGTTTTGGACTGTTGTTTGGGTGGGAAAAGTCTGATATACAAATGGTTAGGCCAAGACCTCATAACAACAAAAACAAAATTCAAAATCAATAAATGTGTTGTTGGGATATATTACCATCACTTAAGTTAAAAATCCACTTTTACTTGTAAAATGTGCATGACCCTATTACAATTTTAACTTTTAATGGCTTTTAATGTTTTTTTTTTTCCTGGTATACAATTTTTGGGGTCACCTGGGAACTGTCCCCAGAAAGTGTAGGGCAAGCCCATCATTACACCCTTGTGTTACACTATGAGCACTAGGATCATGTTAAAGCACTCAGCGCATGCTTAGTTCATAATGACGCAAGCCATCGTGAATGACATACCCCTTAAATTGAGATGAGAGGACCTTCACCTTTTCCAAGCAAGTCTACCCGTTTTGGTGGTGCCAGTGATGCAGGTTACGTCACTAACCCACCATCCTATGCTAATGGTGGTAGGCATGTTAATGGAAACAATGTATTGTTGCTTCTATACTTCTAGATATTTGCCCTGCAGAAGGAGGATATAGAGAACAAGATTTCACTGCATGTGGTTTAGCTGGTTGAAAATCACCAAATATTGATAATGTATATTTTTATTTATTTCTTCCAGATATCTCATTGGAAGACATGGAATATATGAGCATGGCCAGTGATCACAAGGGAGACGCGGAATTATTCCTTAGTTATTTGAATGTGTCAGATGTTGTCAACATTATGGAAACCCTGTACGTGGACAGTGAAACCTGTACGGACACTGTAAGTACTGGTACTGTTTGCCATGAGGATTACCAATACCAGGAAAGGTCGGACTCTCTCATGCTCAGTGGACAAGAATCCTCTTTTTTGATGTCTGTCAAGTATGGAACTAGCAAAGAATTACTTGGCTTTATAAATCAGGTGTCCGACTCGAAGAATCGTTTGCCTACTTGTTTTCAGCAGGAGTGTGGAATTGTATTAAGTAAGGTAAGGAAATTTGGCTAATTATTAAAATCTACATGAAATCGTAGGTCTAAAAAAATTTGAATATAGGATTAATACGCAGGTTTAACAACTGAAATTCCTCGTATTTTAGCCCTAAAGGACTGACTGTTAAGTCTTTGAAGTTTAGCAAGGTCCTTGGGTGTGATTTACCCCAATACATACCAATGGGGTTCAAAAATCACTTCCTTAGAGCTCAGACAAGCAACCCTTTTCTTAGTGTTCCCTTGCAGTACCCATTGGAATGTGGAAATTAGCAGGTCAATGGAATCATTAAAATTCTGCATGTCAACAATAGGGTAATTCTATGCACATGGAGTAGAAGGTGATTTCTGTATGTGAATATTATTGCTTCGTATAGGATAATAAATCCTATACTAATGAATAGTAAACCATCAAGTGTCATAGGAGTTGATTAATTGGTTATTTAGGTATTTGGAACTGTTTTGATGGTTGGGATGTTTTAAGGGAACATTTGTGAATTTGAGCATGCTTAGGAATATTGCAATTGAGCTGTAGAAGGGACTCAGCAATGTTTAATAAATACATTGTGTTTTAACAATGGAGTGTTGGTAAACATTTTAGATTCAGTGACTTTTAAAAGTAGTTGTTTAAACTGGCAGAAACACTCTTAAGTGTGTTTATATGGGCGCTATAGTCATCCACACCACTTCATCTCAATGAAATGATCTGGGTGCAGTGCCCTGTCCCTTTAACCCTGCAATGTAAAACATCGCCTTTTTTTTAAACTGCAATGCTTACATTGCAAGGTTAAATCCACCTCTAGTGGCTGTGATACAATATACTAGCAGCTTCTGCTGTACTGACTAAAATAAGGAAATAATAAAAAAAATAAGGTAATTAAAACTTTTTATTTCAATAATTTTTATGGCCTATAAAGAACTAGGGACAGGGAGGCTTAAACATTCAGAATACAAATGTATTCCTCACGTTATAGTTTTTCCTTTTAAACTGAAATGATGACTAGTAAATATAGCTTTTTATGATTTTGAACAAATTCTTGGAGTGCTGCTTCCTGGTTCATATATACCTAAAAGAAAACATATTAGTTGGCTAATACTGTTTAAGTTCCGAATGATATTTCTAACTAAGCAAAATGCGTCCCAGTGAGGCCGGCCACCACCAACATGTGATGGAAGGTGTGTTCAAAAAAGACAGTACTATCCCATTACAGCTGTGATTTACACTGATACAAATCTCAGAAATTACAGAAAAGTAAAACGTGGAAATTTCAACTATGTACAGTGTCCCATGTATTTATTTCTTTTTAAATACTCTTTAACATGTTAACACATTTTCCTGGGCACTGCAGATTTTCTTTAAATGGACTCTATAGGCACACAGGCATGTTGATGACAATAGCACAGCAATGTTTTCATTGCGGGTTAACCTGCTTCTAGTTGCTGTTGTTCTGAGAGCCCATAGATGCGCTTCCTTGAAATAGTGGAGGAAAACGCCACTATTAAAATCAGTCTTAGAGAGACCATCTTATTGGCACAGCTTGGCATTTTACCATGCATGCTTACTGGCCTGCCATGCATTGGCTGAGAGTTGTCAACAGATCTCAGTCAATGAATGAACGACAGGTTTGTCATCCAGGTTCTGAAACGCTGAGATTGTTTGTTTGTTTGTTTGTTTGTTTGTTTCTTTCTTTCTTTCTTTCTTTCTTTCTTTCTTTCTTTCTTTCTTTCTTGCCCTTGCTTCTGTCTTGCCTTTGTGTGACCATGTAGAAATTGCAGGAGTTTTTATATTTCACCCTCCATTCTTTGCTATTTCTTTTCCAGAAGGTAACCATAAACGGGGGGCGCTATCAAAAAGACACGGACGTGCTGCTAGTCCCGTGGAAGATGACCTACAAAAGTATTGGTTCTGAATTCATTCCCTCTGGAGCTTTTGGGAAAGTTCATTTAGCTCAAGACCTTGAAACAAGAAGTCGGATGGCGTGCAAACTGGTACGTTTATTATGCAAGAACCAGTTTCTACAAGATATAAAATATGCAAATGATATCGCCCTGGGGCAGAATCCGTAAAGAACAAATACTGTTGGGATTGCAGCATGCTGTGTAACTAGTGTGTACTGTGCATTTATTATTTATATATTTATATTTTGTCTCACTGCTAAACTCTTTTATCAAATATTTAGATATAGATAGAATTACTTATTACTCATCTCACAGCAAACCACAAGAATTACCGACTGCCCATGTGCTTTTATTCATCATATACCTTTTAGATTATCTATGCTTTAAGAATACATGTTGCCTGTAAAGTTCCCATAGGATCCACACTCATGACGTGTCATGTGCAAAAGCATGTGTGTATAAGACGTATGCCTGGGAACTGTGAATGAGCAGAGATTTACGACGGATGAGCAACATTGTTTAAGAAAACCCTACCGTCATTTCTACCAAAGGATTCTGGGGTGAGAAGTGTGTGGGTGTGTGTGTGTGTGTGTGTATTTAGGTTTTCCCCTATTTTTTAAATTGTATTTATTTATTTACTTATATTATGGGATACTAAGCAAATGGGTTTAGGGACCCACCACTAATGCAAGCATTTGATTTCATGATACCCAAACTATTTAATGTGTGACGCAATACATTTGTAAATGCATAGATTTTAGCAACTACGTTCTCTGGTGGGCCACATTGGTCCAGAAGAGTCTTAAGCAGCTGAATAAATGCTAGCACCACCTACATGTAGAGGGACTAATTGTCCAGCACTGATCTACTGATTCTCAATCACATGTCTTCATTTGACCATGTGTGAGAGATTGAAGGAAGTTCTTTTCATAACTACTGTTCTTCTAACTTCCATTTTATGAAAACAAATAAAACTGCAAAACTTTCAACGCCTCCACTTGAGCTTGGAACCCCTGTTCCAAAATGTGACCTTATGTGTAAAGCATCAAGAACACTGTTAATTTGGGTATAGTTTCAATGAGATAAATAAATTAGCCAGTATATTGAATGGTACAGTTTTTACTCTTCATGATTCTAACAACAAAATGTTTCTTTGTCCTAAAAAGATTCCATTGGATCAGTTTAAGCCGTCCGAAGTGGAGATCCAGCTACAGTTGTGTCATGACAACATTGCAGAATTGTACGGTGCCATACTGAGCGACAACATCATGCATCTTTACATGGAAGCTGGAGAAGGAGGGTCTGTGATGGAAAGACTTGAAAGCTGTGGACCTTTGAGAGAATTTGAAATCCTTTGGGTGACAAAACATGTTCTCAAAGGACTTGATTTTCTTCACTCCAAAAATGTCATCCATCATGACATAAAACGTAAGTTGCTAGACTGCTTGGACAATATTCCTCTATAGGTTTGGAGAATCTTACCACGTTGGCCTTTTCGTTTTCGACTGTCGTTTGGGTGGAAAAAGTCCGATATACAAATGCTTAGGCCGTGACCTCATAACAACAAAAATAAAATTCACAATCAATAAATGTTAGAAGGTCAATATAGAAGGTCAATAAGTGTGTGTGTGTGTGTGTGTAGCTAAATTGCCCATTTTATTTAAACCTCTCCTGTAGACATTGCTGTGTATTTAACTTATCTTTGGCAATAGATGATTACAGGAATATGTGTACTGCAGAGTACATTTTGTGTAATATTAAAGTGTATTAATTATTATGGTTACTGTATATATTCGAGTATAAGTCGACCCGAATATAAATCGAGACCCCTAATTTTACCCCAAAAAACTGGGAAAACTTATTGACTTGAGTATAAGCCTAGGGTGGGAAATGCAGCAGCTACTGGTAAATGTCTAAATAAAATTAGATCCCCCAAAAATTATATTAATTGAATATTTATTTACCGTGTGTGTGTATATAATGCATTGTTTGTATGAATGCAGTGTGTTTGTATGAATGCAGTGTGTGTGTGTATGAATGCAGTGTGTGTGTGTGTGTGTGTATGAATGCAGTGTTTGTATAAATGCAGTGTGTGTGTATGTGATGCAGAGCCTTGGTGGGGGGTGGCCATTTTTATTATTTTTTAAAATTATTATTATTAATTTTTTATTTTATTATTATTTAAATTTGTATTTATTTACTTTCGTCCCCCCCTCCCTGCTTGTTAGCTGGCCAGGGAGGGGGGCTCTCATTCCCTGGTGGTCCAGTGGGTGGGCTGTGTAGGAGGGGGGCTGGCAGAGAGCTGTAACTTACCTTTCCTGCAGCTCCTGTCAGCTCCCTTCTCCTCCGGTCCTGTCAGCTCCACTGTCAGCGCCACTGTAAGTCTCACGGTGTGACATGGGGTTTTTCAGCACAAATAATGTGCTGAAAAACTCGACTTATACTCGAGTATGTACGGTATTTACTTGACCCTACCAAATAAATAATAGCTCTATCTAGTGTATTTGTTAAATTCAAATCACAACTAGTAATTATCCAGGGTCAAAGCTTCTGGCCCGCATTTGCAGATCCAGTGCAGTAAAAGACCCTTTTCGTCTTCCAGAAGAGTCGAAATGGTTTACTTTAACCTTGTTCCAGCGAATTATTCTCTGCATTAGATCGGTAAACTGCTTTCCTAGTTATATCTATGTCAGAGTACAAATTAGGTGCAATAGAAAAGCAATCTAAAGTTTAAACAAAAGCCCTATATAAATATACTGATGACAATCTCTTTCATTGTAGCCAGCAATATCGTGATCATGTCCACAAAGGCTGTTCTAGTGGACTTTGGACTCAGCATCCAGATGACTGGAGATGTGTATTATCCAAAGGACCTGAGAGGAACAGAGGTAATAATTAAGTGCAATAGCAAAAAACCTTCTGCTTCACAATTACAAAAGCAATATACATATTATATTTCCCATTTATTTCCTTCTGGTAACAGACTTGGAATTTCTGAACATTTTATTTTCTATAATAAATGTGAACAATCTTTGAATTTTATAATCACTGCATTGTATAGAGCTGTTAAATGGTTTTCGTACATGTATTCTTAAAGCAACGCTCCAAGCACCATGACCACTACAGTGTTCTGTAGGGTTTATAGTGCCATAAGCTCCGCTACAGTAAGTTTTAGTCTGTTTTAGAATGGTTTGACTTCTCACCTGGGGTCCGCTTGGCACCGGTCCTCTCTGCAGGCATAAGTGGGAGCTAGAGGCTCCTACTAGGAGCTTCTATTGAATCTCCTATTCATTGACTGAGAATTAAGTTTCCTGACTGCCGGACATATCTCAGTAGACCTAGCAAAGCAAGTATGCAGGAGCTTTAAGCTCTCCTGGCTGTACAGAGGAGGTGGCAAACTGTGCCGGGCCAACCCCATGTAAGAAGTCATGCCGTTCAAAAACTACTTACAATGGAAGGGTGCCAGGGCACTCCTGGCACCATAACCACTACAGTCTGTTGTGGTTATGGTGCTTGGAGTGTTCTTTTAAAGCATTGTAGGATTCCATTTTCATGTGAGACAATCAGTTTCAAATATTTGCTGTGCTTGAGTCATTGCTTAGAATCACTGCAGTTTGGAAGTTGTGGTAATGAGGTCCTTCATGGACATGAGCATTATATATATAATCTCAATGTATGTTTGCAGATCTGCTATAAACCTATGTAGCATTGCTTACAAGCACGATGCGACTGACACGCTAACTAGCATGGTGTCCTATTCCATTTTGTTTTTATGAAATATTAGGGTTTTCCTGACCTCTCTGGTACTAAACAATTTCCAGATCCTCAGAAAAGCTATTGGTATTCAGCAGCTTTGATCCTTGTTAGAACACTGGCAAAATGTCTATATTAACACAAATGTATTTCAAAGTTAAGAAACTGCAATTGTTAAAACTGTGAATAACCATATTCTTTCTACTTCCCTTGCCCTTCCTTGCATATGCTGTCTCTCTAATCAGTCAGCTAGTTTCATGGTTTTACTTATTTTTAACTTGAACCAGGCTGTTTACTGAATATTGGTCATTTAGTGCAGCAACAAGATTAAGATCTGGGGGTTTATTCACTAAATAGTGAATTGTGACAAACTGAAAATTGTAAGCCCAACTAGCTGATTTGCAAATAAATTTCCAGATCGCCATTTTTAGAATTTAGCCACAATTGTGCAATTCCTTTTGAAATAAACCATTCAATAAATATATAGCCAATTTTAAAAACCTTTTATAGTTGGATATATACTTTTTATATATAGTTCTGTTTGCACAATGTTTCTAAATATATTTTCCCACTGTGCTTGGTTCCAGTTGTACATGAGTCCGGAAGTGGTTCTCTGCAGAGGACACTCCACCAAAGCTGATATCTACAGCATGGGCGCTACGATTATTCACATGCAGACTGGGAATCCTCCATGGGTGAAAAGATACCCCCGCTCAGCCTTCCCTTCATATCTTTATATAGTACGTTTTACTGTTTTGTGTTTCATTTTCTATGTACGATGATACCTATTTGTTTAACTACTTATTTTGTGGCTAGCCTCTCAGTTTCGGCTGCTAAATGCAAATTCCATTGTGCTCCAGGTATTGTTGTGGTGCATGTTTAAAACTGGAGAATTTATTTAGAAACTGAGAAAAATCTTATTTTAACTATAGTTTTAGTGGTGGTCAGGATTCATTAGAAATGTATATTCAGGGGATATAAACCCTTAAAAGGCCTTAAGCAGATTAGAACACCTTATAAAACAATGGTGGGACCTGTTTATTGTTCAAAAGGGCAGATCTTGGCTAACAGTGGCCCCATCAGCGGCAAGGCAATCCTCCAATTTAATGGACGCCAAAAATCTAGTATGTAATTGAAAACACAAAATTTCAAATAAATCCAAAAATAATTGTATATTTCTGAAGTGAATAGTAGAGGACAAGATATAAGTAATGTGTTATTACCGTTTAGATTCTGTGTTTGTAATCTTGTGTATATATTTTGTATCCCAGATACACAAGCAAGCTCCACCATTGGAAGATATTGCGGAGGACTGCAGCCCCCCCATGAAAGCTTTCCTCACAGCTTCGCTAGAAAAGAATCCCAACCAACGGCCTACAGCCGCCGAGCTATTGAAACATGAAGCCCTACATCCTCCTCCGGAGGACCAGCCGCGGTGTCAGAGTTTGGACACCGCTCTACTAGAAAGGAAACGATTACTCAAGAAAGAGTTGGAGCTGCCAGAAAATATAGCAGGTGAGATTATTATTTTTATTTAATACTCTGCTTATATTTTCAGAAAGTAAGAACGTAATACTGTCAGATTGTGTGCTTTGCACAAGGTCCTATTTACAAAATATTAAGAGAGAGAGAGAGAGAGAGAGAGCGCAACCAAACTGAACATCTTTCTGTTGTCCTCTTTGAGAGTTTTTGCAGATATGTTCCTGTGAATTGCTCGGCTTAGAGAAACTTGTTTGCAGCTCTTGGGTGCAATTAATGTTTTGTACTTTTCGAGTGCAACCCATTTAAATACAGTCCACTACCTCTGGCAAAAGTAGGGAATCACAAAATGCTCAATTTGCCAAAAACTTCACATCTCTATCTAGTAATTCAAAATGGATCTGAGAGGGACAAATGCACTTTTACATGTTAAAAACAATATATTGTATGCTGAGAAATGCTGGCCTCCACACAGACAGCATTAATAATATGGTGTGTGCCTATTTGCCCATGGCTAAGATGAGTGAGTGTTGAGTCCTGTTGAATATTGTTTAGTCTTCCCAACTCCTTGTGAGTGTATGCCTCCTTAACCCCTTAAGGACACATGACATGACATGGTCCTTAAGGGGTTAAAGAAAAAAAAATTAAACAAAACCAAAAAAAAGATACATTTCTAAAAAAGATGTACCTCTGTCGCAAAATTTTGGGTTTGAAGACCATTGTTAAATACAGATACCAAACTTCAACATTTTAAACCTTTTAGATTTGAAACACGATTGCACAACTTTTAGGCGTATGTAACAGCGACTGAACAATATTTGAAAATTATAGGCATTTTAGGTATTTTCCCAATCAAAACAAGTGGATAATTCATTTTCACACACTTTTCTTTATATGTTCTAATTATACTAGGAAAACTGATTTTTTTTTTTTTTTTAATTTTCACTCCCAAAATTACAGATGTTTACATTTTTTCTGAGCTAAATTGTATCGTTATCACAATACTTCTCAGTTCTCCGTCCAACTTCAAAGCGCTTCCTATTGCTACACTTTTTTTTTTTTTAAATGCTTCCTCCTTCAATGTTCTGTATTCCCCTAATTTATTTTAAGGTTAAAGGTTATTTATTTACAAAAAAATAGGAACTAAATTCAGTTAGTCGAATATGTCTGGGTAAAAAAGGGGAATTTGGTATTGTTAATTGTGCTTCCTCTTATTGTCCACATGCTTTAAAGTATATTCACCCGGATATATGTATTTCCTAAGTATGCCTTTTATGTCAGTCCTTTCCATTTTATTTGTTATATTATGTTATTTTGTCACCAGACTAGATTGGCCATCTGTGTTGTGTGTTAAAAGTCTGTTTTAAAGTAGAAAAATGCAAAAATGCCACTATGTTATTCTCCCCAGTTATCCTGTTTTTTACATTTATTTTTGTATTACTTTATGTGTTTCCATTTCTAAACTTTGCATATAATTTATATGTATTTCCTTATAAATTATTTTAAACTCATAATTGGCTTTGACACATTGCTTCCTCTGCAGGCTCTTTAAATTTTATGAAATGTTACACCCATTTCACTGTGATTTTAGTTTATCTTGTTTCTAGTGTGCTGTGTGCACACGAAAAATATGATGTTGGGATATATCTATATATTAATACTATTCCTTACTGTTGTGATTGACACATACCAAATTATGTAAGCTTGTGATGTGCAGAATTTGAATTCTTTACATTCCATGTTCATGATTCAGGGATTTTTCAGCTCATCTTTGGCTAGTACAATTCTTAGCTCATTAGCTCATCTTTGGCTAGTACAATTCTTAGCTTATTAGCTCATCTTTGGCTAGTACAATTCTTAGCTCATTAGCTCATCTTTGGCTAGTACAATTCTTACTTACTGAAAACTTTTTTTTATTTTTTGGTGCAACTAGCATTTCATAAATCTTCACCTATTTTGTAAGACTTTATTATTATTATTATTATTATTATTGTTATAATTTTTTTTAGTTTTTTTCATGATTTGACTTGCTCAGAGTTGGCATTTTTGCCTTTTTCCTTTATAACTCTTGTAGAAATTTGGACACAGACTCATTTTTTTTTTTTTTTTAATTAATTCTTTCTTTTTTTCCCAGCTCATTAGTGTGAGAGAGACATCGCATGGATACATACAAACATGTTCAAACAGTAGATAACATTCAGATAATAGCATTTTGTGGACACCAACTAATTTTTATTCTGATTTACATAAATTAATCCACAAACCAGTGACATAAATATAATGTTTGAAGAGACACTGCAACTAAGTTCCTAATTGAATGAGTGCTTCAGACTCCCTCCCCCTCCTGTACCCCCCTCCCCCTCCAATCTATTACTTTCATCTCTGCCTGGTGTCTAAGCAGAAGAGAATGAGCCCTTAATTTCCATTGGCACAGATCTACTGCATTGCTAATTGCAACTAATTCTCATCAATGCATAGAATGTATATGTCTATCAAAATAGAAACAAGTCTTGCATCGACTTATTATTCATTATATCCGTTAGATTGTGTTAGGGATAAGATAATTCCATTCTAATTCAACTGTGATGGGATTGAGATGATTTAGTGTGGAGTATTCCAGTATGTTTAATTTTTGGAGTAATATTTAGATTTAACTGTTTATATCATATAATGAAATTGTTGTTCTTCATTTTCCAGATGCGTCATTATATACAAGTGAGGAATCAGAGGTGCTAAGGAGACAGCGATCCCTCTCCGTTGACCTTGGAGCTCTTGCTGGCTATTTGAACATAATCCGTGCGCCCCCAAACTCAGAATATGATTGTTCGTAACAAGGAATTGTGCAGAATAAGCTAAAATGTTCTCCTGCACTGCACTTTTCATTATATGTCATTACTTAAGGGTTGACCGGTTCAACTCGGTATCAATAATTATTGGTTATCCTTAGAACCCTACAAGCCTTTAAACTAAACTTAAATAACTTCAATAGTATCTGGATCAGTAAGATTAGCCATAGCTGATTCAGTCCAGAATAATAGAAAATATTGAAAATCTCTAGCTATTTTTTTTGAGAGATTTTTGTTTTCTTGGTGTAGCATTGTTTATAGTGTTATATGTATGCACGTGTATATCTTCACAAAAAAAAAAAATCTATGTTGAATAGAAAAACTTTTATAACCAGCACATTTTGATATAGTTGGAGAAAAATACTTATGTAGATAGTTCCTATGGAACTGTATTATTTTAGTTTTTTTGTATTTGCAATATAAAGTGTAATGTTCTGACATGTCATTCTGTACATTCTAAATGATGAGTGTGTTGGCCCAATGAATTTATTCATTTTGAGAGTCCTTTTGAGATAGTTGGGAGAAGGATCGGTCCATCTCACTTTACCTGACCACCTGGGTAAAAACTTTGACTCTAACCATTTGTCAAAAAAGCTAAAAACTCCTTTCCATTAGACCGGCTATGGTTTAACTTTGTCCCAACAGCTGTTGTTTACTTCATTCACATAACTAATGTCTAGTTATTAGGATAAATATAGTCCGCCGTGCCTGCGGGGCCAAAGGTTAAGCATTAATGAGGTAGAGAGTTCATTTTATGAAGTGGAGCGTGTTTTTATTGCACTGTAGCCATGTCATTTTCCTTATGATAACCCGCTTCATGAAATGTGACTTAGAAAAACTCACTGCCACCACAACTGGTTTAATGCGTATAGAACAATCACAATAGTTACCCAACCCTATGGCCAAATATTACTGCCTAGAATGGTACTGGCAGTGTACAAGGCAACATGTCAGCAAAGAGTTAAATCTGAGTATTCCTCTTTTATTGTTAAAGAGGTTCTACAAACTGTATGTGTTAGGATTAGAGTACTGCATGCTATGTATGCTAAATTATAGAATTTTATTTTAAGCACTCCTTTTGAGTGACACTGTAAAAATTTTAATCAACAACCCACTTAACAATAAAATATTATTAAAAATGGTGTTCTTTGTTCTGCTTTCATTTCTTTGTTTTATTAACATTGTATCTGTACAAGGGATAATTTTTTTTTGTTTTACCCTTGTTCTTAAATGGAACATGAAATCATTGTGGAATGATATTGTACTCATAAAAGTAGCCTATAATTTAAAAGCACTATTTTTGTAATCAGGTACATTTTACTAGACCTATAAAAACAAAAAAAAAACCCTCTGTGTATCAAAACCTGTGATTTTACTTTACTATAGTAATTATAATTGTAATATTTGAAAAGGTTTCAAAACTACAATGCAAAATACTACTACTAAAAAATAAGCCTACCTCCATAGCCACGCCTCTCCATTCTAAACAAAAAGTCTTCCTAATATGTGTACATACACAGCTCAGCCACTGGCAGCACTGAGTGAGCTAGACTGCTATGATCAAAGCAGCCTGTGTTAAAACAGAAGGACACCCTGGCAGACATATGAGAATATCACTGCATGTCTGTTCTTTCGCTGCCACCTTGGTTGGAATTGTGCCCCTTGGCATTAAAGCCACCAAAACAACTTTAGCCTAATGAAGCAGTTTTGGTCTGTTGATCATGCCCATGCAGTCTCACTGCTCAATTCTCTGCCATTTAGGAGTTAAATCCCTTTTGTTTCTGTCCATGCATACCCTAGCCACACCTCCTCGGGCTGTGACTGACACAGCCTGCATGAAAATTTTTTCATTTTCAATAAGATCTAAACTTACTTCAAAGTTTTTAACATCTGATTGAAAATGAAACCATTTTTTTCATGCAGTCTGTTCCCACAGTCAGGGGAGGTGTGGCTAGAGCTGCATGGACTGAAACAAAAGTGATTTAACTCCTAAATGGCAGAGAATTGTGCATTGAGACTTCAGAAGCATGATCTATACACCAAAACTGCTTCATTAAGCTAAAGTTGTTTTGGTGACTATAATGTCCCTCTAACTTCCTTTAGAAGTTTTTAGCTCCTGCCCAGCAAATTGAACTTAAATGGCACACAGGAGGATCCTGCAGGGACTAGAAGGTTATTAGCAGAGCAGGAGATAGGAAAATGACTGTGCAAGTTACATGCAGGAAGGTGTGACCAGACCTGCATAAACAAAGTGATTTAACTCCTAAATGGCAGAGAATTGAGCAGTGAGACTGCAGGGGTATGAGATCTATACACCAAAACTGCTTCATTAAGCTAAAGTTGTTTTAGTGACTATAGTGTCCATTTTAAATTAAATTTTACCTGAGTAGAGGAAGACCTTACACTCCAAAAAAGTGTTAACTGTATGTAACACAGTGTGGGGGTAATGCTAAGGTCACTGGTGTTTTTTCTGCTCGCTGTGGGGGTGTTCTGATCCCACCCAATGAATGCCTTCCAAATCCAAACAAAACTAATTTCTGTATTGGCAAAATCCCAAGTGAGGGGCTGACCCACGTGTACCCAAGGGACGCCATGTTGTAAACTCCTCAAATGATATGATGCAAAACAGGACAGTGCCAGTGACATGATTGCACCATAACCACTGCAGTAATTTGGTGTGGTTACAGTGCTCTATTTAAATAGTTGTGTTTTTTTTGTTTTGTTTTTATAAAGGGCATATACCAGTGATGGCGATCCCTTTTGAGCCCGAGTGCCCAAACCGCAATACATGCCAACTTTTTTTCCCTCAAAGTGCCAACATGGCAATTAAACCTGAATACTGAGGTTTAAGTTTAGAAAAAAACTACTCGTACAGTTGTCCGAACTAATTAACACATTTTGAAAAGAAGAACACAACAGAGAGTTCAATGATACAAAATTTTAAATTATGATATAAATAGATAAAATTAAGCTTATATTTATTAGTATCTCCAACAAATGCAATACATACACACAGACTGCTGAACACATTCACACACAGTCCGCTAAATACACATACAGACAGACTGCTTAATACACACACACACAGTCTGCTGAATACATACACTGCTGAGTACACACACAGACTGCTGAGTACACACACACAGACTGCGGAGTACACACTCACAGACTGCTGAGTATATACACACACAGACTGCTGAATACACACACTGATGAGTACACAGAGTCTGCTGAATACATACACACACACAGAGACTGCTGAATACACACACACAGTCTGCTGAATACATACACTGCTGAGTACATACAGACAGACTGCTGAGTACACACAGACTGCTGAATACATACACTGCTGAATACACACACACAGTCTGCTGAATACATACACTGCGGAGTACACACACACACACACTGCTGAGTACACACAGACTGCTAAATGCATACACACACACAGACTGCTGAATAAATACACACACACACAGACTGCTGAATACACCCACAAAGACTGCTGAGTACACACAGTCTCCTGAATACATACACACACAGACTGCTGAATACATACACACAGACAGACTGCTGAATACACATACAGACTGGGGGGAGGGGTGCTGTGGGGGGATAGGGTTGCTGTGCTGTGCTGTGGGGGGTAGGGGTGCTGTGCTGTGTGGGGGAAGGGTGCTCTGGGGGGAGGGGTGCTGTGTGGGGGGGTAGGGGTGCTGTGGGGGTAGGGAGCTGTGGCATGTTAAAAGAGCTAAACTGGCTGTCGCTGGAATCCCGATGCACTCTTTATCTTTCCAGCCTTGTGCATAAGAGCATTTCTGGGAAGCTCCCACCCTACCTGAGTAGAAAGCTCTCCCCGGCTGTTCCCACCTCCGATCCAGTACTAGCACAATATTTAGCATACTGCAATACAAAAATAAAGTAGCTCGATCCTCCTTTTCCTACAGAGCACTGCAATTATAGAATAACCTCAGGGACACAGTACAAATCTTAATTCAATCTAAAATCTTTTAAGAGACCTATGGCAATATACCTCAGCACAGAATGCACCTGTCATGGTTTAATATTTTATTACCTGTTATGTATTAAATGTATATGTGTGCGTATGTATATATTTATATATTGTTTGTATATTGTATTATTGTAATATTGTATCCGATTGTAACAATGCCATGTTTTATGGACCCAGGACACACTTAAAAACGAGAGAAATCTCAATGTATCTTTCCTGGTAAAATATTTTATAAATAAATAAATATATAAATGCCGCAGATTGAAGACTAAGTCAGAAATGCATATTGCCACCAGAACTGGAAACCAGATACTATTATTGAACTTCATTTATTCCAATATCTGGATACTCCCAAAGCTATCACTTCAGTGTCTGTACCGGTACATAGTCTGGAGATGACTCCTGCGTTTTCTAATCTGGTGTGATAATATTTGCGGGTCACAAATTATCCATTATATTTTCAGTATCTGATTTCTCGCAGGAAAAAACATGAATAAGTCTTAGATTACAAAAACAAAAGATAGTGCTCTCATCATAAACCTGTGGCTATGTTAAAAAAAGAAGATACTACAAATTTTTATGGGTCCCCCAAAAATTCTCCATACGGGTGAAAAAAGTAAATTGAAGAGTCAGTAGCTTAATCTATCGTTCATTAAAATAACTCTTCTCCGGATTCTCTGCCGGGTAGAGTATTTCTCCTTTCTGCCAATAAGAGAAGTTGCACAATATATAGCTATTTGTGGCATGTGCTTATCACATGATGTAAAATGTTTGATTTCCCTTCCCATAATGTTGGGGGTGGCAGGCAACTCCTACTTAAGATAATGTTGTGGGAGACAATATCCATTAACTGTTTAACTACCAGATGTATTTGCAGAAGGATCAAAACTAACAAACAACAATCGAGAAATCCTTGTAGATGATCTCCTATCATAAAACATTATGGGAGCAATGCATTAAAGAACACACAAAAAATAACTAAACATAAACGATACACATCTTTGCATGTCCCGTGTGTTCTGCTAATCACCACTGTCTATATCACACAATTCGGGCCGGTCCTATTGTTTTTAGTGGGAATCCTGTGTGTGTTACAAAACATTAGCTGTGAATGTTTTCATGGAAGTAAAAGAGAGGGGCCGGGCCACCATCAGGGGATGACAACCATAACGGTTGTCAAGGGCCTGGTGGTTCTGGGGGGGCCCCGACTGCCCTGAGAGTCCCGGGCCCCACATTCCCTATCTGCACATATATATACATATATAGCAATTATCACTATATATATGTGCAACGGCGGGCCCCTGGGTACCTGTTAATGCAGAGGGGGCCCAGCACACCCGTTCTGCACATTACAGTTCCTCTCTCTTATTAACTCTTGCGATACACACTCTGCAACCTCTACACTAACACAGACTCTGCATTCATTACACTAATACACACTCTGCATTCACCCCCACTACATTAACACACAATCTGCATTCACTACACTAACACACACTCTGCATCCACTACAATAACACACACTCTGCATTTACTGCACTAACACACACTCTGCATTCATTACACTAACACACACTCTGCATCCACTACACTAACACACACTCTGCATTCATTACACTAACACACACTCTGCATCCACTACACTAACACACACTCTGCATTCACTACACAAACACAGATTCTGCATACAATCGTACAGTACACACTCTGCATTCCCTACACTAACACACACTATGCTTTCACTACACTAACACCATTGTGCATTCATTATTCTAACACACACTGTGCTGTCACTATTCACACAGCATCCACTACACACACTGCATCAACTACACACACACACACAGGCTACATTCACTATACACACACTACATCAACTATCCACTACACTAACACACACTCTGCATTCATTACATTAACACACACTCTGCATTCACTACACAAACACAGATTCTGCATACAATCGTACAGCACGCACTCTGCATTCCCTACACTAACACACACTATGCTTTCACTACACTAACACCATTGTGCATTCATTATTCTAACACACACTGTGCTGTCACTATTCACACTGCATCCACTACACACACTGCATCAACTACACACACACAGGCTACATTCACTATA